GTCCATATATCCCCATATACCGACGATTATTATTATACGAAATCGACTTAATCAATTAAAATATATACTAATTATCGACAAAACAGTAAGAGTATATTATTTAACCTAAAAAAAAAATGGCATTTGGGGTTTTGCGGCCACCATGAGCCGCCAAACCCGTGCACAAAAATATTGCCAACCGACCGAAACCGGCGGCAGTTATGTCAATTTTTGACAATGTTCCGGAAGAGTCGCCCTCAATTTGATTATACCAATCGAAAGCTTACTAAAATGTCTAAAAAATCGTCTCTATGAAAAAAGTTGGCACCTGTGAAGACAAAAATTTGTTAGTGAAAGAGGTTATGTACAAATAATAAATATTAAGCGATTTTGTACAAATATAAAAAGATATTATGGTTACTGGTCACTCGATTATTCCGTAGTAGCTGATGCATGGTTTAAATACTAGATTATCATCCGAGATACTCGGATAACGACTAGCTCCAGCTAAATTAGATTAAAGTGTAAAGTCCGTTATCCGTAACAGTCTACCTTTCGTCTAATAATGGGTGGTTATTTATTATATCTGATTATGATACGGAATGCGCTAACATCAAATTATTATTATATTTTATGTGATGACCGACGTAATAAAACTACTTGTCTTTGTTGAACCGAATGAAATTATTAGTCCCAGATTTAAACTCCATATTTTGTCCACAACGATTTAGGCAAGAATTATTTGTTTCTACGTCTGATTCCTCCCCTTATTTTTCTACATTTATTAAAGGCCTATGCAAATGCAATTGACAGGTTATTGTTTATATTTCCACAAAATATAAATCCTAATTAATCTTAATAATTTTTATACAAAGATACGGTGTCAGTGGTTACATAACCGAAATGGAGTTCTAATGTCGTGTGACTAAATAAAATAGTGTAGAATATTATAATAAATATATATTATAAAAATATCCAGGCTGGCCAACCATATTGGTATTGGGTTTGGCTTAAATACGAAATTCTGACAAGCTTCGGCGGTGTATACGAAACAATCCCCGACCCTTACTAGAAACAACCAACAACAGCAAAAACTTCAACTTCAATAATTAAAATTGTTGAATATGTCGTCATTAAAATTAAACCGATCATATAAATCTAAATTGTATTATATTATATCATTAAGTTGATCACATATTATTGGACAACATAAGAATGGAAACAATATGATATTTTTTTTTAATTTTCTAGTTTGTACACTTATTTGAAGAGTAATATCTCTAGTCTCTACACATGTATTTGTTAATTAATGTCTACATTGTTAGGCTAAATTGATCAGAAAAAGCCCAATTTCACATTAAGCAACCTGAAAAAGAATAAGTCGATTTCAAAAAGCCTTTCGTACGAAAAAAATAAGGTCGGGTCGAAAGAATGCAATGTTAAAATGATCGATGTGTATTCAGATGCCAAAATAAAATAGCAAAAACAGGTCAACGTTTTACCATTGAAATTTGATGTACGTGTTCTTTTTGGCTGTTGACGCACAAAAAAGCACAAATCCACACATTTAAAGTATTATCTGTATTATACAGGCATGCTGTCCATTCAACACACGTTATAATTTTAGCATTTCACCATAGTTAACCGGATCGTTGGGTTCTCGTCGATTAATTTTCAATGTCCGTGGTGAAGTGTCGTGATATAAATTTCAGCATAATAATGCTAGCTCAACGCTTTTTCACCTGTTTTATACTGCTCGTATTATGTAATAATAATATTGTATACAACGGTGCAATGGCAGCAGACGGCGTGCATCAGATGAACCGAATTCTGGAGCATCCGGGATGGCGGGATTTCGAACCTTTGAAAATCCTGGTCGATAAAGAGGAGTATGGAGTGGAACATTTACTTAGAAGTGATGCCGAAGGACAGAATTTAGTGACAACCAGAAACATACACCAGAAAGTCCGGCAAGCCCACCAATTTCTCAATTGCGATTACGCTATAATGTTTCTAACTTACACTGAATACCTGAATAGGATTGGGCTTTATTGTAATCGGATGTCTCACTGGGATACAATCCCTTCCGAAAATAAACAAGAATGTCTGGAGAAGTTCAGGCAGTTATGCCACGGAAAACAATTGGTATCGCGCATGCAAAGTGCGATTGCCTATGTGCAATCGTTGTCTCCAGAAACGCCATTAATCAATGACTTTTACGAAATCCTCACAAGCTTCGGATGTGCTTACGAGATGACACCCGACCCTTACTGGAAACGAACAACAACTAAAACAACAAAGCCGATGCTATTTTGCTGTGTTTCCACGTCGACAAATGACGATGATATTTCCGCACCTACGACTGAAGGTACGTTAAAACTTATAAACAACCTAAGAAGAGAGACTAAGAATTTTTTCAAAAAACACTGTGCCCCGGAATCGCATATATTAAAAAGCCATAAAATAGATAGTTCCACGTTTAGCTGGTCCCTCGTGTTAAAAGACGAATGGTATTTCTCAAATCATCCGCTTTACGACGTGTCCATCCCCATCCTCACTGTGAACAAAATGTACACTAATGTCAATAACTTAACATACGATTTTATAGTAACTGATTACACACGACTGGGGTTTGCGTTTAATACACTATCAAACGCTACTGCTTTGAACGAAAATCCCGATACGGAAAACAGAGTTCACCAAACGAACGAGATACTGATACAAATTGACCGGTCGAAACCTATGTGCCACTTTAATTTTGTGATGGATAGCGGACAATACAGTGTAGAAGATCTGCTGGCGACCGATGTCATAGGGCAAATAGTTAACGAGACAAACGTAGACACTAAAGTGCGTCAAATCTACGGATTTCTGAGCTGTTATTACGTTGAACTATTAAAACAATTATTGCCTTACAACAAATCTATGATACAATTATTTTTCCAGCCAGACCCTGCTGACAAATATGAGGTTTTTATATCAATCGTGAAAATAGTCAAGATGATCGATCCAGTAATATTGCGCATAAGAAGCACCCTTTTGTATTTTCTACGATTATCTCCTCAGACAATTTTTAGAAAGGATGTTTTGAAAATCATTTACCTCCTCATGAACTCCATTGAATATATCAATACAATAATCAACAATCAACGGGATCTTGTTAATTATATGTCACTTGATAGAATGGAAACTTTCCAAAGCAATTTGTCAGAAGTTGAAAGAGAACTAAACATATTCACTGGGATGTCTTGCGTGGTTCAGTCAGATACGGATATATGTAATGAGGTTCCCCAAAATTTGCAGGAGATAGAGAGTCAACTCGATGAAAAAATAAACCATATTATACAAACTGTGTTTCCAAATTTGGGTTTAAATGAATCCCACTTTGGAGCACTATTGTTAGAGTGAGTCGGGAATTTTAGCTTAATACAATGTCTATAATTTTAATACATCTCAGTGTAATCTTATTATTTTATTAAACACTATTATATTTTCACGTTTAAATTAACAATAAGGTATTTGTGTTATTTTTCCAGTTATGTATAAGTTTATAATTGGTAAATTTCTTATGAAATAGCTAACTACACTTGCTTTTTAATTATTTCTTTATGTATAATGTGGAATTTTGCAAGCCTTATTGTGTCCTTAACTGTTCTTGGAGTATTTAATTTTGAAATGTATGTACTTAAAAATATTTTACAATAAAACACGTTTTCGAATCTTAGTTTGGTATAAAATTTTGTTTATATTAGTCATCTAATTATTTTGATTTAAAGTGTTTTCAGGAAATTGAGCATTAAATATATTTGAAGACCAATCCAATTGTAGGGATAAATATAACCTATTGTTTTTAAATATTTTAATCTAAACGTTGGTATATGTTATTTAAATCAGGTAATTATTTATTGTTATACATTTTATTGTACATTATATAGATTATATTATAAGCTGTTAACGTTGTGTTAATCAATCATTGAAGAAAGTCGTTTTTTTTAACTAATAGATTTACGAGACGCCTGACTTTTGCAAAAGTAGGCTACTAAAATTAGTGCACATATATGTTGTGTATTTATTGTTAAATGTAAAACAAAGTAAGAACATTTCGAGTGAATGATCATACTAATATGCTGTATTTATATTTACTAAAATAATGATATTTCTAAAACCTTAGATACTCAGATATTAAAATAATAATTAACAAAAAAAAAATCTTACAAACGTTTATACTTAGTAAATGTAAGATTACATGTAAATTATAATTTGTCTTTTTTTAAACGCTTAGATTTTAAACCTTACTGACTGTTGTACTCTCTTAAGTAATTTCTTAATTAAATTCATACTTTTGTACCTACTGTAGTACCGCCCAGGGCTATAATATAAGAATATATGTTGAAATAGCACTTAGCAAAGTAATAATTTCACGGTACATGAATTCGTGTACTATATTATTATCAGTCAATAATTAGAGTCACCTGTATCGTTAGTGGTTTTTGTCAATTGTAATGTTAGGTGTTGGAATATTAACAACTGTAACAATTATCTATACTACATTTTTCATCGATACAACGATTACTTATGTAAGTAACGCATCCTTGTCTTCTATGTAAGCAAGCAGTTAAGGTCGATTGAAGATTTTCACCAGTATGTTTTGGAATGAATACTAGAATTATGTAGGTGAATTAATAGAGATAGTGGATTGGAGATAATAGATTGCAGGACATATCCATGTATCTGCATGTAGTGTCATCAAAAAATGTAATAAAAAAAAAAAGGTTTCTCATGTAAAATGATCTCAACTTTCTGAAAAGAATACTGATTTATTCTTTTGAGTGACAGAAGGACATTAAAATTGAGAATATAATCTAAAAAGTTGGCCTTTTCTAATATTTGTTTTCAGAAAACTGAGATAATTTTACATGAAAGTTCAACTCCGGGTTCTCCATAAAAACAAAAAAAACAAAACAGGTGAATTTCATAGTAATACAAATAGTTGAAATAATTTTGTGTAAAAATAAGACAATTTTTTGTTCGAGTATTGGCAAATGTTTATTTGTTTTTAAAACTATTATAGGATTTCTGATTACGGTTAAAATTAGAACGAGTCGCAGGTGCAGAGGCCTCTTAGATAAAGACAAGAGAGAGAGAGAGAGAGTAAAATCAATGTGTAACAGTTAATGGTATAGCTTAGTACATCACTCGGTTAATTATAGCTGTTAACGACGTTGCCGATTTGTGATGTTTTCAGTAGATATATTAAAACAACCTAAAGTGTAATCACAAAATAACATATTTTATAGCTGTAAATTTGCCAAAAATTATTTAAAAACATTTCCAGTGTAAAATACTCAAAATATTGTTAGTTTTTGTTTTTAATCACACAAATATTAAGTACAAACAAACCAGAATTTCTAATTTTTATTCTTGCCATTAGCTTGTGTAGGCGTGTACGGACTGAACTCAGCTACATCAAAATCGGCATAAGTCATATCACTGGTGTCCGGTGCCAGAGGGGTTTTCAAGTATTCTTCGAGCTTTGCCCGTTTTTGTTCTTCGGTCATGTTTTTGTAGTTCTCATAGATTTTGCTCATGTGAGGATTTATTGTAGAATTAGTAGATGCGTTGGAATTGTTTTCTCGATCCATTGCAAAAAATATTATGTATTTTTCCTATTCAAGTGTTTTGCACGAATTTGGATTTCTAAAACAAAAAAAATTACACACTATCTAATCTGAAGAAAAACTACATTTCTACAATTAAATAAACCTCAAACTACCGAACGTTAGATTTCTATTTACATACAAATTAAAAACGGTTTCGCGTTGAATAAATCGTTTGTGTCCAATGTTACTATTACTTGTTACTTACTAATAAATACTCATTGTAATTCACACTCAGGATGTTGATTTTACATCAGAAGTACATCCATAGTTGTGTTTAAATGAAATGTAAGTATTAAGCAGTTGCAAAAATACATTCATGCATGTAGTGTGTAAAATAAACAAGACAGAACAGCGGGCTAAGTAGGCGTGTTAAACGCATTAATTAAATATTCAATGTACATAAATACTCACACGTTACTGAATAATAATTATGTTGGTGTCGTCTGTTGCCCATAAACAAACCCGTTGAGTACCTACTGCTCCAATATACTTGACTACGTTATTTTCGATGGCCTGAAAATTGCGCGTTTACAGCCACACCACTAGTTGTTGTGTTAAACTGTGGTCCTGTTATAGCGTTAGCTGTCAATGGAAGCTCACTGTTGCAACAGTGTTATGGAATATCAAGTAGGGATACCGTGTAATCGCTTGTCCTTGAATATTTCACATGTACCATATGCCTACATAATGATTATTATTAAGTAGGGCCACGAATTCAAATGGTAAACGTACGCCGTTGGCAATATTACAATGTAGCCGCTATAGTCGACTTTAGCTCAATAACACAGTCCTGACAGACAATAGGTCGGATAAAACGCATGATTATTAAAAAAAAGTTAACAATGGAAAATTGTAAAACAAAATATTATGTGTGTCCAAGCCGACGACGACCCAAGCGGTTGAGGCATTTGTGTTTACATTTTACACCGGCGACTTTTGACTGGAAAGTGGCATTCAAAATTTGCATTTAAAAAAAACAACAAAAGTTTGTACTAAAAAAAAAAACATTTAATTGAATGTATTGTAGGTTTTCGCGGTAAAATACTTAAAATTACATTAAATATTTAAAAATTAGTGTCAACTGTTTTTTACATAATATACAAAACGTTTTTTTTTTTGTATATGAAAATAAAATGAAAAATCCCAAAAATACAAATTATTTTAATTATTAAGAAAATTCGAAATTTTGTTTTTTGATTTCCTAAAACTTATTTTGATAAAAACCTCAATCAAGAAAAACACAAAATGTTTCAATTTGGGTGCCCAACTAATTTATTTTATTCGTTTTAAGTTTTATTCAACATCAATTGAGAATTAACTTTTATTTAACTTTCTGTTTTAGTTAACAGTTTGATCTATTTTTTTTATTTTTTTATTATGTTAAATTCTGTAGTAGATTTAATTACTTTTTAGCTTCGATGCTATAGATAAAAAGGTATTTTAAGATTTTTTTTTTTTAGTATGTGACCGCCTAAGTTTTTTAAAGTAGAGTTTAACTCTCAATCTCGAGCCCATTAAATGGAACTTTTGGGCCTTTTTTCGGAATCTTTTGCAAAGTAATATCATAAAGCTTCTCGGATGTAAAACCAAAAAACTAGAGCAGGGAAGAAGACAGAGATAAATGTAGAGGATACTTTAGCATAACTTTTCTTGGGAAAAAAAAGACATTAGAGCAAAAGTGGTACTGACTCTTGATCCAGTAATCCAGACTCTTCAACACACACACACAGACATATTAGACTTAGAGTAAGACATAGACGGTTAGGTTAGGTTGGGTTAGGTTAGGTTAGGTTAGGTTAGGTTAGGTTAGGTTAGGTTAGGTTAGGTTAGGTTAAGTAAGGTTAGGTTAGGACGGCGAGGTGAGTGTGTGGGCAGATTACAAGTAATAAGCTTTGCCCCTTGGGAAAGTAGTAAGCAAGAACACTGTAAAGTAACATAACAACGGTTTTTAATAGAACAAAAACAAAAAAAAAACATAAATATAGACTACTCAGTGTCCGTTACAAGATCAAGACAGTGCGTTTAAGTATGTTGTTTGTTCAGTCCTGTTGGTAGCGACCGTAGTGATGAGGGTGGACGGCATGGTGTTCGTGGTGAACGTGTGCGTTGAAACCGTTGTGCTTGTCCGCCGTGTAAGTCACTTTCCGGACACGACCGTCCGGTTCGACCAGACTGTACTCGCCGTGGACCACGTCGCCTTCGCGTTCCTCGGCCTGATGCTTAACGTCGCCGGTGTGCGGGTCTTTGACTCCATACTTGAACTTATAATGCGGCGGGGCCTGAGTCGGAGAAAAAAATTATAAACCAACCTTCATCGGTGTCCTAGCCATATTCAAACACCAGGGATTTTAAAACTCATTTTTTTTTTTTTTTTTTTGTAAGAGGTTTAATATTACTAATTGCAAACGCCCCGTGGAACCGGAACCAATGTAAATGTACTGAGCTAATTTAGCTGAGCTGTTGTGAGTAACGGTGTACTTACATAGTAGTCGTGTCCGTCGTGATGAGTGTTGTGAAACTTAGGATGATAGGCTGCGTACGAAGTGGCGTCGTGTTCGGCCAGAGTCAGCGCCACAAGAGCGGTTAAAGCGACGAAAACCAGCTGAAAATAATAATGAAAAATACTTCATCGAGTTAGTAGTGGCAATCAACACACATTTAAGTAAAACGGCAAGTGAAGTACAGAGTTTCTTGCGCAACGTAATTATGGGAATTTCAATTTGTACAATGTAGAAACGCATACAAGAACAGCCAAACAATTATTTACAACCATTTTCTATTGAAAATTAAAAAAAAAAAATAGTAAACCAAGTACCGTATACATATTTTGTTTCTACAGAAAGTACAATTAAAGCGTTAAATTGTAAAATTAATTGGTTAAGTTAATCGAAATTAGATATTATTTTTATGAGAGAAAAATCATTAGTTTTATATTTATGCAAAGTACTGCAAGTGCAGATATGTTACTTAACTATAACCGGTATACCAAATAGGTACTCACTTGGAATGTGTTGGCCATTGTTTTTTATTGACAGTTTTTTTATCTCGCTGAACTGAATGCAAACCGTATCCTGGTCTGGACGGAACTGATGATCGTGGAAAGGTCCGACCAGTGTATTTATAGTGGATCGACAAGTCCCCCAAGACTTGTGTCGGATATTTTCTCAACGCTTTTCACTGCAGTTTTAACCTCTGCGGTCCATTTCCGCTCCGGCAGTTTGGTCTGACGAAAAATCAGAAGGTTAGTCGGTGGTTTTCCATCACATACTCTACCGAGCACGTCTGATTTTTTATTTTTTTTTTTGCAATATTTGGACTTAGCCCGTCATAATATGGCCCACGGCGTAAAGTGAAAGATCATGTGATGTGTTTTTCTGGGACAACGTTTTCTGTATTTTGCAAGGTCTCTCGAGGTCGGCGGACAAGAGATTAGCAATTAATTATTATTAACAAGTAGTCGCCTCGTTGGCTGTGTTTGGTTTACATTAATAATGGTTAAAATATTTCTGATACAAAAGAGAATTATTTCACTGTGAGAAACATCATATATAAATATTAATATATATAATATATAAATATTTTAAATAAACTATCAATTAAAAAAATAATCATTATAACCGTTCTTTAAGTACATTTTTATAAGTATATCTATATATATATCTACTTAACTACAACTACAGAAAATTTAAACTTAGTACCAAAAATATATAACAATTTAATTAAATCAATTGAAAGAATATAAAATTTGAACTATTAAATGTTTAACAACTTTTCTTCAGCAACATTTAATTAATTCAATTCAAGTATACTGAAGTATATTCATAATAAAATCTATGTCAACATTTTTGTTTAACTAATTTTTATAATTATTTTAATTGGCCGTATTTAACTTATTATGTATAGTTGACATATTTTTAATTAAATATGACACAATGCATTGGTGTAACCCTGGCCGTCACGCCTTTTTGATTTTTATGGGAATTTCAAATAAACGGCCCAGAACGTACAATAGGTAAACCATACTTCTATTATTATTATTGCACACCAGCTGAGTAAAAAAATTATGGTAATTGACAAAACTTTTGTCAAATTCATTACTAACGCGCTTCAAATTAATTACATCTACTACTATGAAAATATTAAAAATAACAAATTTAGAAACCAAGGCCGTATATTATAAAGTGCATATTAACAAATATATTTTAGGCATCTATAATTGGCGATATAATATGTTATTTCTAAGCTGAAATTTTAAATTTATTTCATTGCCTATAGTTTTAACAGTGTTCAAAAAATGAATGCGTTCACATTCTTTAGAAAAATAAACACATTCATTTAAATTATCTTCTATATATATATATAAACTAATGTACGTCTGTTTGTCCTTTATGCATTACTACACCATAGGATATTTAAGGATTATTAAAACTAATACCCCAAATTCAGACTCTCGCAGTGGTCATTTTTTATGGTCACTGTTTTATGGTTCAGTTTTTTTTAAAAATATCAATTGACGTGGAGAATATCCTTCTTGGATATTTTTTTATTAAGATAAGTCAATTCAAGTATAAATCATGGATGAAAAAATGGCATGATTAATGGCAAGGTTATTTAAAAAAAAACATGTGCGTGTCGTTTATTGTAAAGCTCTATAAATTATAAAATGTCTATAGAAAAATAGCATTATCACATTTCCCTATTACTGTAAAAAAAATACAATGGATTCGCAAAACAAATAATCCGCTTCTAGTAGTTACATTTTACAGTTAAATATGTAAAAAAAAAAATAAATAAATAAATAACAATGTTATTTTTTTTTATAACGCTAAAATTGTTTTTCCTAAAAATTAATGCAGTTTGTTCCTCAGAAAAGAAATGAAATACTTAGCGGTTTAAGGAGACTTAATCAGGTTATACTTACATCATAATTGGAAGGAGATCAATTTTGAAAAATAATTTATGTGATTTTTTAAATATTTATTAATTATATAATATAACATATTGCAATTTTTAAGTGTATCGCAAGTTAAAATCTAAGGGGTTTTGTGTAGGCAACTTAATCAGCATCGTCAATTAAACAACACCATTCAATAACAAAGTAAATATACCTATTATAAGCTACTAAGTATATTTAATCTAGTTTTAATCTATATTTTAAAAAATACATTTTCTTAGCACATAATGCAACATATATTGCATTAAGTATTAAAAAAACAATTATTATACAAGTTAAGTGATGATGTTTTACAAAAATAATTTAAATCAATTTCTTATAAACACAAGCAAACTACTTTCTTTTTGTCGATAGAACATTAACGTTATCCACTTCTTCAATTATACAAATTTCTCATTGAAAAACTAGTTTCAACACCAGCACATTGATGCTTAAAAAAGTTATTGGTAATAATTTTAAACGTAAGCTTTAACTAAAAAAGACAAGTAAATTACAAAAAATATTTTACAAATACAATTACAAATGTAATTTCTTCTGTATACAAATTTAATGTATTCTTTTCTTGGTCATCTGAATCATCCTGGTCTCATTTTTTTTAAAACATTTAAATTTTTTATCCATCCCTACTGTTGAAAATAAAAAAAAAACGAAATGAGTTACCGCACATTGCATTGCTGGCCTTTGTTCTTGTACAATGCAAGTTTGAAATTGTGTAACGACTTTACATTTAGTTTACAGTTACCTAATTAAGTGCAAATTCCTCTTTGTACACACTCGCATCTCATTAAGGAAGTACCTAGGATAACAGCTGGACATATAAATTTGAAAAACTGAATGTAATTGTCCAAGTAAGCCTGTTCTAATGTATTTTTTCATTTTTTTTAAAAATGTTATCAATTATTTATTACTCATATCCAAAAACAATTACCAATTCAACACAAAGCGTGCCGTTTTGTTTTCAAATTTCCATTATGTAAGTTTAAAAACCCCTTTTTGTTTGGTGGCCAACCGCCTGGCAACGAACCAACGGAATCCATATAGTGTCCAAAAACAGTTTTATTAAGTATAATAATACAGCCAAGTGCTGTTTTTCCGTACGAATCAACTGACTTAAACTTTAACACACACCTACAGCTTGATGGAACTTGAAAAATTTGTAATTACCACAGTTGTTATGGTTAAAACTAAAAAATAAAAACCATTGTATATTTTAAGAAAAAAAATACCTTTTATTTAATACAAAATAATATGATGAGCAATTGCGAAAGAAAAATATGTACAAAACGGAATACAAAAGTGCGCGAAGACATAAATAAGTATAAATTCGAAGATCTATGTTTGGCTTTACAATACAGCAACACACGAGGAATATTAAACCGGGTTACAATCCTCAAACGTTTGTAAAATCAGAACAAAAAAAAGTTAAAATACAACAGCGAACACACACACACACACAAAAAAAAAGAAATACACGAGTACAAGTATGAAATGATAAAGTAAGAAGTATAGCGAACAATTTTGATTAAAATGAAAAAAACATTAACATTTTTTTTTTTTTAATTAGTATAACATCATGATGGTGAGTATTATTATATTTTTAGTAAGCGCCTAGCATAATAATATTATGTTGGAGATCATTGTCGAAGCGAAGGGTAGTGCACGAAGTCGTAGTGTAATATCATAAAGGATTAAAAAAAACTAATAAGAAAGTCAGAGAGAGAATGTGAAAACAATAGAGAAAAAATACATTGGGAATGTCGATTAATATTATATAAAAAAAAAAAAAAATACTTAACACGATTATAAATCATACCTGATTCATGCATTTTGTTTTTCTTTTTTTGATTTGCTATAAAAAAATACTTATTGTTACTTACATTAAATACTTATTGCTTATTAATTAGCGTTATTTTTTGTATATAAAAACTTCGGTAACTCGCCCGGGAAACGTGGTAGGGTTAGATCCTAACCTAACCTCACCGGTAACGTAAACGGTACGTTGGCCGGTTAACGGCGGTAACCGTGGTAGAGGGGTGAGTGGTGAGCGGGCACCGTGGCCGGGTGGTGAGCGTGGCCGGACTTGTGGACGACCGCGTTGAAACCGTTGTGGTCGTCGGCGGTGTACGTCACTTTGCGGGTGGTGCCGTCCGGTTCGACCAGACTGTATTCGCCCTTTACAACGTCGCCGTCTCTCTCTTCCCATTGGTCCTTAACGTCGCCGGTGTGGTAGTCTTTGACGCCGTAGTTGAAAGAGTACTTGGGCGGCGACTGAAAAACGAAAAACAAACAGACATTTCAGTAAACGGTCCGAGTTGCTCGCGTCCCGCACACTCACGTAGTAGTCCACTGGTTTCGAGTAGCTCGGGTAGTCGGTGTGGTAAGTGCTGGCCGCCGAGTAAGCGGGGTAAGCCGAATAAGACGGGTAGTCGTACGACACGGCCGGCGCGGCATAGCCGCCGTGGTAAGCGGCGCGGTGAGCCAGGTAACTTCCACAGGCCACGTGCAGGAGGAGGGCGGCTAATGTGCACTGTGAACAGTATCAATCCATTAGATCGATCGATTAGGCGAAGCAGGGCAACGCCACATTGCAGCTTTCCTAAACTTAGACACTAGGAGTTTCGAAAAGATTTTCAGAAAAAAAAAACCTGTATTTTGATTCTCAAATGTTTCCTCGTTTTCAGCAACTCCATTTTTGTCCAACACTATGAGAAACCTATTAGACACTTTGACACGGTGGATGGAAGTTGCAGACGAAACCGGTTTTATAGCGGCACAAGCGACTTCTATGATTGGACTTTTGCGAACCGCCTTGATAAGACCATATATTAAACCCATAATGAATGAATGACGCAAGCCACGCCTATCAAATATTCTACGTTGAAGTAACAGCCATTTCCAAAGATATGAAATTAATTTCTTGTCATTTCAACCCTTTCAGACATGAGTTTAATTTAAATTTTAAAACAAATACATATGAAATTCGTAAAGCAAAAAGATAATAGTGGACTACCAATACAATACGACTATTGGCCACTCTTTTTGAAGGCGTTTGGATCAGTTTCTGCGCAACGTTTGGTTAGGAAGCTAACCTAACCATCAAGTCTAGTAGAACATTTAAAAGGTAAGGAAGAAAACAAAGTAAAAAAATGATCTCGACTCAACGTAGGTGTCGTTCGGAAAAGGTTGGCCAATTCGAAACTGTGTCGCGGAACGGATCGTGCGTCCCGATCTAGGCACGCGATACCGGCCACGTGTACCTAGTTTTATAATCGACAGTGCCGGCGTATAATATTGTACCTACTCGGGTGTAGGCTGCACATGTTGTGCGTAATCGGTAAAGGATCGACGAAAATGCAGCGCAGTCGTGCCCGCGTCGATCGGTCGGATTTATCGACTCGGGTGTGCGATCACGACGGACGAAAATAAATAAATAATAATTATTAAAAAAAAAACCAGCCGACCCGACCATTTTCACGACGACGACGCGACGGCGGTTACACGATATGCGTGAAAAACGATTTCGGCCGGCGATGCGCGGTGAATCGCGGATTAAATGCGTCCAACGATAAATCATCGCGTTGCGCAATCCGCGTGCCGCACAATTAACGTTGGCTATGATTTTTTTTCCCTCAAAAATAACAGACAATAATAACGTGTGCGCGGCTAAAACGATTAGCGCGCGTAACCCGCCATCGAATAAACACACACACACCGGACAAAACGATCACGTGCCATGACGGCCAAGATAATAATAAGCAATAATAGTAGACCTATATGTTATTTATTATACGTACAGTGTGTAAAAGGCCAAAGAGTTTCTGATTAATAAGCGCTAAAGCACAAAAGTTGGCCGAGACACTTCATTTATGCATGTAAGCTCATCAAGTAATTGTATTATATTATACTACCCCCAAAAGAGAACCATAAATAACAGAAACCCATAAAATCATGATTAAAAAGAAAATAACAGTTTAAAAAAAACTAAAATAGTTGTCAAAGCTTTAATTTCAACACTCCAAATATTTTTTATTTTTGTACAAAACGCTAAATTGAATCGAATTTACAATAACAAAAAAAACATTTGACCAACATTAGTCCAGTGGATTGATTTAAACGGGACTGAGCCAATCGCACTCATTTGTTCGGGGCCCTATCTAGAGCGCTTCAGAGATAACTGACTAGTTAATTTATTTAAAAAAACCCTTTTTTTTACATATTTTTAATTTAAGTTATGATTTATGAACTGCAAATAAGTCCCATCTAGGTGCCCAGTTACCGTACACTGTTGGATAGTAAAGTTTTTTTTTTATACAGGGTGATCCATCTAATGTAAGACATCCATTTTCTCGGAAAATATGAATATTTTGAGAGTTATTTTTTTCGTATACCTACTTGTAGGTATACCTTTTTTAATACATTAAACATTTTTATTTCATCTTTTGTACGTAAAACAAACACGGACTTAGTTTTTTCCAATTGGAACTTATGTTTTTAATTCCATAGATATGTAGACAAAAAATGATAAAAATTTTAGTATTTGAATTTTGAATTTTTATCAATCTGTTCGTTGTCTATAACTTTGTACAGATATTACTTTTCCCAGGAATTTTTCAACTGTCCAAAAAAAAAAACAGTAGCCCATAAAATTCTTATTTATGTTTGCATTATCCAATAGGTGATAACAGCGGGAATGATACACAATAAAATGTGCCGAGATTCCCATGTTGCTGTTCTCATCTACCTATTCAAACACAGTGACGGCTACTGTTTGTTTTTTTTTTTGACAACCGGAGAAATAGGGCGAAATGTAACAATTTTACATACTCGTAGCAAACGGATTGATGAAAATTAAAAATTCAAACGCTAAATTTGTTTAAACATATTTGTCTGCAAATGGAGTTAAAAAAATGGGTTTCCATTTGAGAAAACAAAGTCTTTAATTGTTTGACGTAAAAATTATGCATTGTAAAAAATGTCTAAGTATTGGAAAAATATAGTAAAATGTGTACCTAAAGTAGGTATAGGAAAAAATGTGTATGAAGTAGAGTCAAGGTGTGATATAAACAAAAATTGAACTTACCTGTAAGAACGCCATTTTCGTGTGATTCGTGAAGTTTGCGCGGTATAACACTATGTTGAGACAAAGTTGGAACACTCGGTCGGCAAACTTGTTCTGTGATAATGTGTGTATATGTGTGTGTGTGACGGTACACCTGGAACACTGTCGGGATCGGTATGACCTGTACGACGGGCCGTCCGGTGCATTTATACCAAAGGGCGAAAGCGGCGCTCCCCACACTGGCCGGCGCCTCATTGGCCGGCCGGCCATCCGCGTGCGTCCGCGGTCATTCCGGGCGCATTGTTGTTTCTTTGAAAACCATTGCGGCTACGTTCGCCCACAATAATCGGTGTTGTTATACCCATATCCATGTACGTTTACTTGTAATTATTTTGGTTTTTTTTTTATTTTATTGTCAGATCAAAATCCAATTTTAAGCCTTGGACTAAATACTTGGACGGTGCAACGACAAACGGTCCAACCGTACCGAGTCCTCGGCGCACGTGCTCACCTCCAGTATCCTTCTGTTAGTCCTAGCCAAAATCGAGACAACAATACCGAGTGATTAATCCATTAATTCATTAAATAATAATTATTGATAAAATACTCGTTTTCTCTTAAAATAATTGCAATTTTGTAGGTTTTCTTTTTGGAGTTCTTTAGACTTCTTTTAGTTTATGTTGTTTTACAATATAAACATCATTCAAGTATTGACATCTTTTTAATTTTTCCAGAGCTCAATCGACTTTAAACGGTAACGTAAACAATTAACTTTTAAAACAAGGTAAAAAAAAAAAAATTGCTGGAAATGTCGACTGACCGAAAACCATTTTCGGATAGTTAATTTTAAAGTTACTAAGCTTGAATTTAGAAAGGGAAGTGGAGTGATGCGTGCAGATATAACTCAACAGACGTGATTCTTTATAAGTCTATTAATGTGTTTACACAAAACGATTAAAACTAAGTTTATGTAATGTGCATTCAACTTATCCATTATTACACATGCAGTGTACATTTTTATGGTAAAATTGTTAAAATTATTTAAACGAAAAATGTCTAATTAAAATATGAATTTTACCCCTTTTTTTGGAGTTCATAATACTTATTACTTTTAACACAATCTGGTAAAAATAGCATATAGTATATTTGTTGTATACAGTTGCACTGTTCTATCTTAATTGCGTTAATACTGATAACAATTTGTTAAAAATGTGTCAATTATAATGAAGTCCTCATTAAAAAAAAAAAATAATAATAACAATATCAACCCTCTAGTCCAAATATTACTATTCAGAATTGTAACTTCTTCTTCAAACTTAAATTATTTACTCCTCGTTACAAGAATAAAGCTTATAAACATTTTTAACTAAATATTTAAACAAATTAATTAACCGTTTAATTTAAGTCACAATATATAATTTTTTGGTATGGCAAAATGAGTGTATTTGTTTATTTAATAACATATTATTTCACGTTAAGACCCGGAGTATTATTACTTATAAGTTTTTCATAGTAAAAACAAATATGTTTGCTCCAGACTACCTTAGGTGAATAAACTATACTATACTAAGCTAGTATAGTAGCAGTAATATGTAAGCAGAAAAATATTAAGAGACAAATGGTCAAACATACTAAATAACACACTTTCAAGCGCATACAGCTGTTTCGCCTGGAAGTTTTTATCTTCATTTCTTTGGTATGTTTAAGTTTTTGGAAGAACCAAACCTGTTTTTTTCTTATATTTGTTAGTTTTAACGTACGAATAAAAAAAAATACTTCTATACTATTAAGGTTTAACATTAATAAAGCAAAATCAATTATGCAATCAATTAGGCGAGTACGCTGTCTAATTAATTTACCAGACCACTTATAAGTCACATAACTCTGCTTTATTCCGTCATGAAATTACACAACTGGTATATTATATTTTATTTTTGTAAAACAAACCTTGGTAACACGTCTAATTGAACCAAATGCTCGACTAAACTGGATTTTTAAAAGTGTCATCCAAAAATCTGGTATGGTATGAAACTTCATACAACATGTTGTCTAATTGGTAAGGTGATATGTTATTTTGGAAATTTGACAAACATTTTTAATTATGATTTATTCAAAAAATCGTGCTAATCTTGAACTAATTTAAAGGTTTATTTTTTTTAAGTTTAATGAGTTGTTTTTGCACAATTCCCGTATGAATATTGAAGTACAACTCATCAGTATTGCATTGACAATTTCTTCTCAAATTCGGGCTTGAGGTATTGTGGTTGAAATAGGTAATTCATATACTTTAACGTGTCGGTCTGTTAAAACTGCATGACCAATCAGGTAATAGAAGTGCACCGTGTATTGTCAATGAATTATCTACTCGATTATCTACTGTGATTAAATCTTCAAAAGTATGGTAAAGGTTATCCTGGCGGTGTCCTCGATAATCTTGAAGTCAATAGGCAATTTTCTCGCCGACCGTTTCAATGGGAAAATCGTCTTTCAGTCTTCATATAATGTAATACTATGTTATATTATAATGCATCCAAGGTATTAAGTGTATTATTCTACACGGTTGTGGGCTCGTATGGAAAACAAAATATTGAATATCTATAACCAATCGAAGGGCACTGTAAATGGGTTTCGAAAGGATTTTTAACGCGAAGCGCAGAACGCTAAACATAATAATACAACAATAATAATGTTACATTTGACATCAACGCGCGTTTAGTCACACTTAATAAGAACGACCTAAGATATCCCACGATGTAGTTCTTTCTGGCGATACCTATTTGCTTGTAAGCTAATGTAGAATCCGCCAAATCTCGTTAAGTTGCCGACAAAACCCACAAATTGTTTTAAACACAATTTTGTTAAAATTGCTGGTTTTTATGACCCATTAAAACATTGTTGTATTGCATGATGTATTCTAATTTACTATTATCATCAAATACTAAATTAGTATTGTCCTAATTTTTAAATATAATATTCCCACGCCTTCAATAAGATGTAATATTTTTCTCAGGTATTTTGCTTTACACCTGCGAGTGCAGTTCATTTTTTTACGACCAATTATAATAACCCAAATCGCACAGATGTAAAAAAAATATATATATATATATATTTAACCTTGAAATGAAAATAATCAAATTACACTGAGTTCGCTTGGACGCCGAAGTCAAGAAAGTATTTTATTTTTTTTATAATGTCTTTGTCGATTAATCAGTACTAAAATATTTTTCATCTAAATTGAATTGCACATAAATAACTAAGGATTATTATTATACCGATCCATACCATTATTTATTTTAATTTCCTAACATATGTGTAAGAACATTATAAAGTGCCTTAAAGTATTAAAAAAAAATTGTATTTAACTGTTTAATAATAACAGCAGAATTTAAAAAAAAGGCTTTTCCAAATAAAATTAAAAAAATTCTAGTTTTAAATTTTTGTATGATTTAACTTTTATAGATTAGAAAAATATATTTTATTTAAAATTAATAATTGTACATAGACTACAACAGAAACTATAAGACCGCATAATATCGCATTACTTTTCAAACAAATCAACTATCAAATTGTCTACTTCAACCAAAGCTGTTTTGTGGGGCTGTACTTGAGTGTTAATTTTTTGTCTCGCACATTACTAGTAGTTGTTAGATGTACAAAAAATGAGTATTTTTTTCTGATATTTAATAAGTTAACCGCGTGGTGTGATGAAGCACGATAATTATTACTTCCTCTTTCTCTGGACATACTTTACAAGTCAGTAAACAGTAAACATAATGTAACTCAGACATACTTGTTATAATATGACATATTATATTAGCATACAAAGTACTTGGGATACCGCACGCTAATTACATACGAGTGCATTGCAAAACTTGTCAATGGGCGATGCACCGTTCAACATGATTATATTATATCATTGCATTCTTTCTGTCAACCGTGTCCGTAGGAACGCATCTACTTTGCTCGGTTTACCGTGTCACTCTACAATTACCGTCAAACGTACCGTAACCGTGTTTGTACCCGTCCATTATCAATTATATTTATTACAATAATAATGTTCAGCCGCATATTTAAACGCCTACACATCTGTACTTTAGTAGAACCTGACTTCTATTTGATTACTTATGTGGTGATCAAATTTCGCGGTCGGATTGGTAACAATACAAAATTACTCCAGTTGTAAGTTGCAACTTAAATATAGGTATTACCACACAATATGTATAATTTTTACTCTTAAAAAATGTAACATAATAACTTCATGCGACAACAGGTGCAATAATTGTCCAGTGTATTTTTTATGGCGAAAGAGCTCGTTTCTTTTTTGCTAAACGGTTCTTGAACAAAGGAGATAATACAAAAAAAAAAAAAAAAAAATGATTAAAAATACAATCTATTTCTATAGTATGACATGGCCCAGGTCTTAACTTTGAATACTACGTAAACCTAAAATAAATGTATTCAATTTAGACAACAATTAGATTTATTATTTATTAGCGTCAAGCTAATATTTTATTACTTTTGTTTTTTACTCGAGGCTACTCGTGTCTTAAAATATTATAGGGCTGTTTAACCTAATTTGACATCAAACATAATATTATAGAATAGAACTAACTAACCAGAACACAATTATTTATGTTTTTTTATTTTAACGAGTTTATCTAGTCCATTGACGGCTGACGCAACTTAATGATTTAATAATTATATACAGTGGCTTATTTGTTTTGAAACAAAACAAGATTATTTAAGTCACGCGACAGAGAATAGTCAAATAGTGTACAATTATAACTCATCTCATACAGGGTGATTTTTTTGTAAAGTGATCCACTAAATATCTTAAAGGGTTTAATCGATTAATGCATAACTTGTGGTGCTGAGCACATCTTTAAAGAATTGTCTTAAAATTGTATTATTTTTTGAGATTTTAGTGAAACAAAAATATGTATTCTACAACAAATATAGCTTTGCTTTACTATCGTTTTTCATTCTTTTGTCATAAAGGTTAAGGTCGATAGAAATTAGCCGTTATGAAACCTCACACACGTTCGTCGCAGTATTTTCCTTTTATTTTTTTTACTTTTATGGAACGTTGTCCGATTTCCATTCCCAAAGACGTTTCGCTCTAATAATTACTCTGCTCTGCACACACATTCACAGTGCTTGCTACAAACGAGTAATGTGCACAGCACA